AAAAAAAAAAAAAAAAAAAGAAATGAAGAAAACAATGCTTAATTAAGCAAATTTTTAGACAGTCTTCTGTGGTTTAAAATCAGTTAAAGATTGTTGCTAAAAATCAATTTTAAAAATTGCTGTTCTTGCTGAACACTGTTTATGTTGCAGCTTTAAAGTTACTATACAAAACTAATGCCATATAAAATTTTCTTTGTTTCATTTGTTCAATAGAAGGAATGTTTTTAAAAAAAGCAGTGAATGGATACAAAATTAATTGATTTTAAAAAATAAAATTTGTACCGCTGTTCTTCTCATAATCAACTTTTTCATTTACCTTCACTTTTTCAATATCTTTTGCATTTTTCAATTTTGCTCTATGCGCAGAACTAAATCAATAAGCCAAACTGTCACCAGAGTGCAACTGTTAAATTTAAAGCAAATAATACACTATTTAGTTAGAACATTTTACAGGGTTGACAAGGGGTTAGAACGTTGATTAAAAAATTGGCATGAAACAAGCATCAACTGTTACCAAAATTCTTTCTTGAAATCATTAGGAGTGACAAAACTTTGGGTATGCTTGCAGGTTTTTTGTCAACAAACATTGCTGATATACTATCGAATCATAAGCTACACGAGTTGCAAAATGTAATTTACGCTAATATGGGACGATATATTATTGATGGTAAGACCTTTCTTGTTCGTGAATTGCTTCGATGCTTTCAATTTTGACAAGTTGACAAAGAAGTTGCAACTCAGTTTGAGAACTGATTCTTCCTTCTTTCCTTCGCTATTCCAACCTTTCCTTGGCAAAAATGTAAGACAACAAACCATTGTTTTCCAAAACAGTTTATTCAACAAAGTTCTGTTGTTTGCTGAGATCTTCTGCACATTCAGAATGTACGGTTCTTCATGACATTATTTATTCCTCATTGAACTGGTTATTCTTTCTTCTTTTTTCCTTTTTTTATTTGCTTGAACACTAAACTACTTCATTTTCAAAAGCTAATTATACCGCTGTAACAAATTACACAGTAATCTACCGTTTTCTGCAGATAGTTTATATAACTACGGACAAACCCTAGTCAATTGATAGATTGTAAAATAAGGTCTCTTCAAAAACTTTTTCAAAGTTATGTTATATCTTTTTTTATAACAAATGTCTATTTATTATTGTTATTTCTAAAACTCCAAAAAAAATCTAATTTCAAAAAAAAAAAAAAAAAAACTGTCATCAAAACAATCGAACGGTTTATGTTTATTGTTGCTTGTCAGTTTCGTCAAACAACATCATTTTTCTTCAACAGAATGATATTACAGATGCATAAATTGTCGTTTTGCTCAGTTTTTTTTTTGTTCCGTTTTCAAACTTTAACAAAAAGTTCTTTTTAAAATTTATTTACAAGAATATTTGTTGTTGTTGTTCCTTCTATTTAGTGCCTTATTAATCCTAATAACCAAGTTTATAGAGCTTTTTTAATATTATTCAGTGATATCCTAGTTAGTTTTAATTAAGTTATCAGCAACAGACCCATCATAGTCAAATAAAGCTTATCGGTGATCTATTGTCTTCTTTTCGATTGTTTTAATGTTAACAAGAACGAAATAGTTAAAGAATTTCTCTTTGTTCTTTCTTTTTTTCTTTTGTTCGTGAGAAAATCCCAAGTGCATGCCAAGGACCATCAAAAAGCGGTGGAGCAATACAGTTGTAGCTGTGACTAGCAAAAAGGTCATTTAGACTGAAAATCTGTGTTAGAACTGTTATGGATTTTTCAGCCACAATTTTTGACTTCTTTTTCAATCGTTTCCATCATCGTCAAATTTTTACACTTCTTTGTTGATATTGTACCGCATATAAATAACCAAATGATATTTCAACTCACTCTTTTCAATTTTTAAGCTTAAAACCGATGTTAAGAACAGTGGTCTTACTTTTCATCGCTTTATACAGTAAGGAAATTTTCAATCAATCGTTCTTTATAACCAAAAAATTTAGTCGCCACTTACAGTAACTATAATCAATCTATAATTTAACACCATAGTTCATTCTTCACCATCAGTTTTACGTACAGAAAGCAACAATAAACTGTTTTTCGTCAATTACAGTTTTTATAAAAACTTCTGTTTTAGAACTTTTTTGAATTGCCCAACATTAAAAATTTTTTAAAAGCAAAAAGAAACTTTTTAACAGCTTTTTGGATGCATAAACGGACAACTGTACAAATGAAAAAATGTAAGTGAGCATAAGAAAGCCTTTTAAACGCATTCTCTACTTTTTATAATGAATTTTTTTTTTTTTTTTTTTTTTGGTTTAACAATTAATATGGAACAGTTGAAATTGCTGACATGACTATATTTGGTCATAACTTATTATATAGATGTTTGTCCAGCTTTAGCTGTTCTGAATAAAGCAAAAAAATTATCTGAAATTTTTGAACGATCTTTCAGTAGATTACTAGACTTTTTCGTTGTTTCACTCTTGAGCTCTCCTTCTTAAGCGACTTGATATCTTTTGACTAATCCACTCTGCAACTGTCTAAGATTCGCTTTTTAAACGTAAAAACAATAGTGGAAATTTAAGAATTGAATGTTATAACCAACAGATCAAACAACTTACTACATCAATAAACTGTTGTTTATTTCTGTTGCACTGGTTTTTCTGTTAAGAGCTATTGCTTGATAAGAAACTTTTTTCACAAGACTTATTTTTCAACAAATCGTTCTAACTGGCCACCAACTTTACAGTCTGCACTACTGTTTTTCCTGACATCATTCAAGAAAGAAATAGGTCTTTTATCAAATTTTTAAGATTCTACAGAAAGTTTTGTAGCTGAAATTGTTGCTAAATTAACTGAACGGTACAATCAGCTATGTTTCATTTCAGTTTTGACAGGTAAAATCGGTTTAATTGTATTCCCCTTTGTTTCATTTGAAGCAGAATGAAGTGCTGCTTGTTATTTCTTTTTTCCTTTTTTTTCTATTTTGTGAATCTGTTTTGATTTATTGCAAGTCAGATATTTTCTTTAGCCCCTTATCAGATCTTGTCTTGCTAGCGATAAGCCTATAATTTTGTATTCTTCTAAACAGCAACAGTTCAACTTTTTTTTTTGGGCTGAAAACCCATTAATCTTTTCGGCTCTCTAATTCGACATTGGCATCCGTTGCCTTAAACGGGAGGTCAGTAGTAAAACTGAGAATCCATGGTTCTCCTTCCGAAATAACACCGTTTAAACAGTGTCGTTATTTCAGGATACAGATTTGTCTGCCATCTACCAATGAGTGTAGAATACAAAAAAAAATTCACGTCATATTAATGGCTCTCATTAGAACTGTTAGCGAAAAAAGAAGTAGAAAAAAGTTTACACGGCAGGAAACCGAAATAAAATTTGAATAAAAAGACTTCTAGTACACTAAAAATAAAGAATTACTTTTAGATAACAAAAACCGTGAAAAGAATTCTTTTC